GCTGTAGGCTGCACTGGGTTGTCTGTCTGGTATTTGTTTGTCTTGGTATTTGTTGTCAAAAAGTTGTCTGCTTCTGTGTACACCCTGCTGCAATGTTTTTTGAAAATTTTCAGGACTTCAAGGAGCAAGCTGCAGGTTCCGGGCAACCTTAGGTTGCATTTGGCTGATTTATTTTGTCTTTGTTCTTTGTTGTCTTTGTCTTTGTCAAATGGGATGGGGTCAGTCATCTTTGTCGACCCCCTATCAGTCAGGCCCACTCCGGGTGAGTGGAAGGGGAGCTTGATCACCTCCCGGGAAGCTATAGAGCTCCCTCAGGAATTGGGAATTTGTTAGGAATTGGGTGGATTGTTTAAACTCTGAGTGAATGTCTGGTGAAAGTGTGTGAGTGTGGAGGGAGGGGGCCTGCCCTCTCCTCTCCTTTATGTGGCTCCACGACTTCGGTTACGGAGTCCGAGTGGGCCCCAACCTGCGGTTCCGCAATTCGTCATATGGCATAACGGTGACTCACCCCCATGTGGAGGTGACCAGGCCCGGGGTTTATACGGGTGCACCTTAGCTACGACGAATCTAAGCTCCCAAGGGACGCGGCCAGGCGGGCATCTGAGTGAGGATCTGTGAAAACAGGTCACCCCCTCCCTTGTCTGTCTCTCGCCACCAATCATCATGGGGTCGGGACAAAGTTTGTTTGTGTGGGACTGGCCAAATTACTACAGAGAAGGGAGACTGGATACAGCTCCAGCCTGGGCTGGTCTATTAAGAAAGTGTAAATCATTACTGGTCTGTGTGAAGTAAGAGCTACTTTACTTTGATTTATTCTGCTTTCTGTTGATACGCTTGGCTGAACATTTGGGCTGGCCCCTTAGCAGTCTGCAAAGTCTCTCGGCAGCTGCGAGAATTATTTTTCTCAGAGTCTTTTGCTCACTGTTAAGGAGAAACAGCTCACTTAGTTAATAAAGATTTCTGTCTATCAGCTGCTCTTACCTAGGTTGTAATTTAGATTTAAAGGTTATAATGTTAATGCTTTTGATTTACAGCAATTCTGTGAATGGGAGTGGCCCACTTTCCAGGAGGGGTGGCCAGATGCAGGGTCTTTTGATCTGACCACTGCCTACCGGGTCCATTACGTCATACACGGCCGCCCAGGGCATCCTAATCAAACTCCTTATATTCAAGTTTAGGTTGACATATTGTCCTAGAAACCCCGGTAAATGAGGGCTTGCCTCCCAAGGGAAAATTGGGACAGAGACAGACAATTCTTTTGGCCGGGCCCCAGAAGGGAAAGGCTCCCCCGGTCCTTCAGGGAGAGAGGGGGAGAACCTGCAGGACCTTGCGACATCCGCCAGTCCTGCAGTTCCTATGTTGCCACTACGGCAGGCCGGCCCTCTATAGATCTGGGGCCAGACAAGCAGCCTTCTGGGGAAGCAAGGCAGATCGAGACGCTATTTCCCAGCTCCAGACCAGATTGGGGAGTGAATGAACAAAGAAGGGGAGATGGATGCCTGAGCTGCCTGCAGTGGCCCTAATTTAAAAAAAAGAAGCAGCAGCAGCAGCAGTGAGAAAGTACTTGGGCGTTTGGCTTGCAGGCTACAGCAGTTAAGCCAGAAGCCAGTGACTGGTACTAGCCTTCCTACAGCCCCAGGAATAGAGCAGCAAGCCTGGGATCTATGAAAGCTGCAGATAGAGTTAGTAAAAGCTCCCTGCTTGCAAATGTACTGAAAGGGTTTAGTACCTGTAGCTGCTGGAAGAGGAGGGGCTGATATCCCCTTCCAGTACACTCCCTTCAAAGAGGCCTGGTCGCTGCTCTGCCATAAAGGGGACTGGTGGGAAGACAAGGAAAGCAGGGCCCTGTAACTAATAAACAGAGTTAAGAAAAGGGCACTCACCCTGGACCTGGGAGCCATCAGGACTTTGAAATTCTCCAAGAGAGGAGAAGTCTGACTCAGAGACTAGCCGAAACCTCGTTGGGTTAGGAGGACCGGAGGCTGCATATTGAACTTATAGACTGCAATTTGCTAGGCAGAGGTCCAAGCCCAGTTGTATAGGGATTAAGCTACCTATGTACAGCTAAACAACTTTCTCCTGTGCCAGAATACATTTTAAGGAAATTGGACAAATTATATTTGTAGCTAGAAAGAAGAACTGGCCTATGTGTAAACTGTCCTGGAAAAAGGCTATGTGGAATGAACCCAAAAAGTATAGGGTGTCTAGCTGCCGAGAGGGCAGTTGCCCAGGTGGGCAAAGAAGAATACCCATTAAATTCTGGTCTCTATTGAGAGACAGTTGACAGTTAGCAACCTGTATACTGTCTTACAGGCCTGTGTGACCATGCCCATGTCAGGTGTGGCACAAAACCTCAACTGTAGGAAACTGGGGAAGGCCTGTCTAGAACAGAGGGGGTTAATAAAGTGGTGAATACTAGCCCTCTGTTACAGGAATTACAGACCCTGTGAGGTCCTGTGACATATAAGACCCTGTAGGGAAATAAAGCTCCTTTAGTCCATTCTGAAAGAACAAATAAAAGACAGATTAAAGGCTGTGTTTCCCTCCAGGCAACCCAACTGGAACCCCTATAGTGACAGGGGAAAGGAGGCTCTCGATCGGTATCGCCAGACTCTATTAGGGGGCATCCGAGCTGCTGCTTGGAGACCCACAAACCTCTCTAAGGTGACAGAGACAGTCCAGGAGCCTAACCCTGATGCCCTGGAAAGTCGGAGGGCTGTCAATGTTGCATTTGTTTCCCAGTCGACCCCAAATATTAGGAAAAAAATGACAAAAGTTAGAAGGCTTTGAGGGGAAATCAATCTCTAAGTTGGTTGAGGTGGCCCAGAAGGTTTTTGACAATGTGAAGGACCCAATGGCAGGTTTAAACACCCGGATGGCCAAGGTCCTCCTGGCCCTAAACGAGGAAAATGGCCCAAGGGGCTGGAGAGACAACAAGGACAAAGAAAAGCCTCTCGGAAGAAAAGGAGTCCAACCCAGGCTTGGGGAAAATCAATGTGCATTTAGCAGAAAGGAAGGACATTGGAAAAGGGAGTGCCCTGAACGTGCGGGGGAACCAACCCCCTCCCATGCTGGTGGAGGAGGTGGATTGGGGTTGTCGGGGCTCAGCTGGCCCCCAGGAGCCCAGAAGTGGGGGGCCAAAAAGTGGACTTCCTTGTGGAACTCATAGCACTCACTCAGGCCCTCTGGTAGGGAAAGGGAAAAAGAGTAAACATTTCAGCTTCCTGAAAACAGCTGCCTTGAACCACACTCCTCCCTGACGAGAAGGCAGAGGTCCCTTTGCCTGACTGCGAGGAGACACTGACTACCCTCACTTCCCTCCGTGAGGACCTTGTGGACCAGCCCTGCAGAATCCGGATGAGACCCTCTACACGGACGACGGGAGCAGCTTCGTAGAGGAAGGTACCCGGTAGCGGGGGGCACATGAGGAGGAGCCAGGGGACATCTAAGAAGCCCTGGTAAGCGCCCCGGCACTGGCCCTGCCAGACCTACCCAGGGACTACAGGGATATATCTCCTCACACTGCCCTTACAGGAGGACACGGGAGCCACCTTAAAGAAGTCTCCTGACCTCAGGAGGAAAGGAAAAAGCTCCTGAGATACTTAACCACCTGGCAGCCATATAGAGGCCAAGGAATTGACTAAAAGACCAGTAGGGCCACTAGAAGTTCTCGTAGCCCTGCCAGCACGAAGGCTCCCAGAGAAGCCTACTCATCTGCCAGAGGAGCAGAGGCTAGCTGAGAAACTAAGGGCCCAGGAAGGAGAGGCTGGATGGCTAATTCTGCCAGATGGGAGGCCTATAATGCCAGAAGCCCTGGGGCAGACCATCGCTTCCCAGGCCCACCAGAGCACCCACCTCAGGGGAATGAAGCTATCAGAACTACTGGGAAGAGAATTTTACATCCCAGGGCTCCAGAAAATATCTCAAGAGTTGGCTAGAAGGTGCCAAGAGTGTGCCCAGGTGAATCAAGGGCCCCCTGTTGTGGCCGCACCGGGACAGCGATTCCGAGGTCAGAACCTTGGAGAACACTGGGAAGTGGACTTCACCGAGATACCAGGAGGACAAGGAGGGTATAAGTACCTGCTGGTTTTCATTGATACCTTCTCTGGCTGGCCTGAGGCATACCCAACCAAGGCAGAGACAGCACAGGTAGTAGTTAGAAAACTCCTCACTGAAATTGTCCCCCGGTTTAGCCTGCCACTATACATGGGGTCCGACGATGGCCTGGCGTTTATCGCCAAAGTTACAATCCATAGTTAAGGACCTAAGAGTTACTTGAAAATTGCATCGTGTTTGTAGACCACAGAGTTCTGGACAGGTAGAGAGGATAAATTGGATCTTAAAGGAAACATTAACTAAGTTAAAATTAGAGACTGGCGAAAACTGGGTAAGTCTCCTTCCTTTTGCCCTCCTCAGAGCTAGGTGCACCCCGTATATAAAAGGACTCACCCCTTTTGAAATTATGTTTGGCAGGCCGCCACCTCTTCTTCCCCGCCTAAGGGAGGAAGAAATTGCCTGGCTGTCTACCCGAAATTTGCTTAAGTCCTTACAGGCTTTGCAGAGCAGCGCCACGTCAGCACAACGGGTGGTGAGAGCCGTACGGGAGGAGGACGCACCGAGAACCAGTCCAACGCAGCCTGCCTTCTCTCCGGGTGACCTCGTCTGGGTGAAACGTCACGACCCTAGCAGCCTGGAACCTAGATGGGATGGACCCTACCAGGTGGTGCTGAGCACTCCAACCACCATCAAAATCGCAGGAAAGAGGCACTAGAAATTGTAACCCCGTCCTCCTCATGCCTCTCACCTGGTGAACTGACCAATGGGAAGGAGAAAGACATGGGAACTAAGACTCTATGTCAGTGGCCGAGACCCTGGCCAATTCTTCACCATCAAATGCCAGACTCTTCCCCGGTGGCTTGATCCCTGCATTGCCAAATGCTTCCTCAATTTCATATCGTAGAGGAAGGCACTGAATCAAAGATTTGATTCAGGCATAAGACCAGTAGGGAATGTGCTAGGGTGAGGGACTGCGCCATGGAAGGGTTACAGAATGTTACAGAATGTGCTGGGAGGGGGGACTGACGTATGGGGAAGGATTGTGTTGCCAGGATATGAGGATTGTGTATGTGCTGGGAGGAGGGACTGACGTATGGAGGGGGGTTGCAGGGTTAGGAACCATGGAAGAAAAATTGCTAGATTGTCTTAGACCAGTCAGGTGTGACTCTGTTTACCCCCCCTTTGTGCTTATGAACTTTCTGTGAGCTTCTAAGGTAACACTGTTTTTGCTATAAAAATCATAATGCACACTTGCTCTTTGCCACATGCCGCGAGGCTTCCCAGAGGGGGAAGGTACGGGCTGTGGTCAGCTGGCCAGCTTAATAAAAAGGCTTTCAAATTTAAATTCTGAGTCAGTGGTCTATCTCGTTGAGCCAACCCATAACACTGTTACAATATCCATTATACTCTACGCAGACATCGGTGAACTGACAAGAATCACAAATGAAGAGAGCTGCAACCAACGCCTCCCTACACCCATCTACTGTCGAAGGTTGTCCACTTGCTAACACTAAGCTGTGGTGAGAAAAACTAAGAACTCAAGGGAGTTCTGGTGTGTTCTGAAGTACAGAAAGGAATAAATATAATTTTAAAGCTAAATGGGATTTTTAGGTATCAAGTCTATCACTTGATACATACATAAACCTCCTTTATAGTATCTCTAACACAAGATACTCTCTACTTCCCAAAGTAGCTCAACAATTCTAATTTTTTAGAATTCTTAAAGCTATGAAAAACAAACCACCAACAACAAAAAACCCCAGCCACAACTCAGGGGAGTTGACCTCAGGGCAGGCTTCAGGACAGGCAGTCATGACTTATGGTAGCAAGTCATCTTCAAAGATCCGACCCAAATGATAAGCCTTACTTTATACAATTGTTTGTGGTACTCATGAGAAAATCTGATATGTGGTTAATTTCTTAAAACTGAAAATATTTCAGGGTAAATTACTAGTGAGTATAAATTAATTATCTATATTGCTCTTAACTAACACCTAGCAGAGATCAACTTACTACAGAATTCATTATCTTTATTGTGGGATAAAGTCAAGCAAGTAACCTGGCAGCATGGAGCACTTTGGAGATAGGAAAGATCTTGTTAAGTGTGACCAGTAGGGACTGTCAGGGCTTGGGCACTATGAAACTCACAGAGGGGACACTAACAACAGGAGCAAAGAAAACATTCATTAATTTTAAAATAGAGCAAAGGGAGAGCCCTATGCCCACAAAAAGGAAGGAAAAATCTTCTTTCATCATTCAGTACTGCATAATTCCCTTCTCTCAAACCTGAGGAAATTCAGTCTATAAGCAAATTACATCAAAAGGTTAAAATACAACCAATAGTTCCATTTATTTTTGTGGGAAACCATTCTAAGTTTAAAATATCTGTTTATGTATATAAATAGATATCTACATATGTATATAAATAAATACACATTTTCTTATACAGGGATAAATGTCTCTGGAAGAATCCACAAAAGAACAGATTAAAATGATTATCTCACGCATAGAAAACTGAAGGCTGAGACAAGAGTTAGACTTAACGCTGAGACAAGAGTTAGACTTAACACCCTATAAACTTTAGGCACCTTTTGAATTTTGAACCATGCAGATGTAGCTCCTATAACTACTACCAATGTCAACAATAATAACCTAAAATTCACAACCCACTTGCATTGGTGTGTGTGTGTGTGTGTGTGTGTGTATAGTCTTCAGTAAGGGACAATTTAAATAAATGGCTAGTTAGTTAGAGTTAGATTATGTAAATGATAATCATGCAACAGACTAAAATACAAAAATATAAAATATAACAGCACAGGATAAAAATCTCAGGAAGAGATAAAATGCTCAAGGATAGTTTAGGTATTTATATAAAAACATCACAGAATATATGAACGTCATAGTAATGACTAACTATAAAAATACAAGCTCATTTTATTTCCCACCATCTGTAGAAACATTATCAATAATATTTCAATTAGCATTCCTGAATCCTACATAACTATATAAACATCCTATATATGTAATGTAGATATATAATTTCAAAATTAATTTAGTATAATATTGGTTAACATGTACCTTAAAGGAAATGATATAACCCATTCCCCATAGTTAAAAAACTTTTCTGAATATTTTATTAAAAGTGTCTTCATATTAAGAAGTATTTTCAGAATTAGAAATTGGCATGCATATTTTTCCATTATATAACTTGTAGACATTTATATAGGTCTCAGTGAAACTTTCACGCAAAAAGAAACATGTTTGTCTTCAATTACATCCGCTGAAATATTTAGATTATATGCACAATGCCAAATATCTGAATAAAAAATAACTCAACCCAAAACAGACAGTTCCATATACACAGATAATGAAATAATTTTGCCTTTTAAACTAGATAGTTTAAAGAAATAGCTCAATTTGGGGGTTTTACTAGTATAAAAATAGGGTAAAAACTATCCAAAAATTAATCCAAATCTATTTTAATATTTTATTAACTTAAGTGAGTTAAATTCTCTTGTGCTATACTACATAATCATCACTCTATCTACAGAAAAACTATAGATATGATCACTGCAATTAAAAAGAAATTTCTGGTCTCTACAAATTAATTTAACCTTATAATTCTATCAATATTTGCTTCTAGAATTATTTTACTGTAAGTCAAAAATTGCTCTATTTACCAGCCCTTGTTCAAACAGCTCTTTTTCTTCTATCGTCCACTTTACTGAGAAACTGGCTGGTTTTGTAGGAGATTGTACCCTGAGGGGGGAAAAAAGGAATTGCAAAAAAAAAAAATCTGAAATGGAACATTCCATATTTACGCAGCTAAAGATTATAGATAGCCATAAACTAAATTCAATATTCTGAGTCTAAGAACTTAAAAAAAGGAAAAGAAGAAGAAAAAGGCTGCAGCCTCTACGTGAGGGGACAGATTTACCCTGTCTCATATACTTCTCTAGCTCAGGATGATAGGAGCCCCAAAAGACATAATCCTTGAGTCTGAGTGAAGATAACACTAAAAGACATTAAAGGAAGTCAGTGTGAAAACAAACAAATAGGGTTCTTTATGCTGGACATAAAACAGCAGACATTAAAACACCCAAATCCTGAAAGGCATGTAAAAGTTTAAACTGACTCTGGAAATATTATCTCTGATTCTTCTACGTACCATGTAAATATCAAGCCAGAAAAGTAATAAAAAAAACAAACTATGGCATTATGTTTATTGCTTTTGAAACTGCAGTCTCTTAAGAAATTAAGAGAGTGATGAGACTCACTAATTTAATTCAAGCACACCATTAATCTTTTCATTAACTTCATTTTTTATTGTTGTTTATTCAGCAAAATGCAAAAGCCAAAGTCTGTTTGGTGCTCAAACTCTTGGCAATTGCAAATCTGTAAGCTTTACCTTTAAGGGACCATAAACATGCAAGTTTATAAACACTAAATAAAATAGTTAAAAGTTTCTTTAATTTTTTGAAAGCTAAAAATTCAAATTAAATTTTTGTTTGAAGTGATTGAAAATTAACTGACAGGGCAATAGAAATCATGTCAACTCTAACATTAAATAGCAGATTTTAAAAGTTTCCCCACAAATCCCTAAGAAACCATCTTTTCCATAATCTGATGGAACCAAAAGAGAAATTCTGGAAAATAGCAGCATAAAATTACCTTGGGGCATTCCAATAGATACAAGAAATTCTGATTTTATATTTTTTAATAACTCAAGATCAAGAAAGCTTTTCCACAAGCCAACTATAATTTTTATTTAATTTTCTTATAACTTTTAACTAATAAAAAAGGTTTTAAAGTTTTAAACATAAGTACATACATGATTTTTGCTGTTTTCTGCAGACTGCACCACCACATGAAAAAAGAAAATAAGGAAGCGTGTGAAGTTTCTAAAAGTACTGTTCATATTTTTAAAAGTATGACAAATTAATTTTTACCTCTTCATGTATTTTTTATCATCTTCCTTTTGACCAAGCCAGAATTTTTCTGGAAGTGATTTTTTAGATAAATAATACCTGTGTAGTTATTAAGGAAACTTTAACAACAATAAAGTCATAACTTTTACATGGCTCATATAAAGTAGGCATATATAGTATACTAGAGGCCCAGTGCATGAATTCGTGCATAGGTGAGGTCCGGCTGGCCCAGCCCTAATCGGGGCAGATTGGGGCCAGGCCTGTCGGAGGAGGAGACCGAGGGAGGTTGGCCAGCTGATCCACCCCAATCGGGCCCAATCAGGGCCGGGCCG